GTGGTGAGTTCGTATGTTCCATGACTCTTCATAGTATCAATGTAAGTGGCGTTTGTCATGTGTCTGATCGAGCTGGATTGGACTTCTTAGGATTATATTCGATTTACAAGCTGAAACTTTCGGAAAGGCCACGGAATACGATCAGTTACAAGACATAAACGACAAAAGCGAACATATTCAAAAAGCCGCCTGACTCGTTTTGAAAGAAGAATCCAGAAAGCCACAGTCCATGCACTAAATCCTTGTCGTACCGCCCTCAATCAAATGGCCAAGCCGAAAGATTTGTGGATATTTTAAACGAGCACTGCCGAAATTGCCAGGGGAGGGACCAACGTACGATCTATTTCAAAAAGAGGGAAATGTCAGGGCGCGCCCAGTCTGAAGAAATATTACATATACAGAGAGCGATGCATCTCCAAGGTCACCATCGGTACGACAAGTCCGGAAAGTAGTTGAGTCGGCGGCTCTCACTAAATTCCACCTAGCACCACCCGACCAGCGTAGTGGCACCAAGAGTTCAATTAACCTGCTGCATTGTGAAGCAGTGCGTCTCGAATTGATCCAATACGGCTTCGAAACATATGAGCTCATCCCTCTTGCACATGCCGTTTACCATGACAATGTCGTGAAAAGTTTCCTTCACATTGCGAAACGTGAAAACGTAGCAGCAGGATTTCAAGTACCGCATCATATTTCTGAACATATATTCTGAATGCATGAAGGCAAGGATTATCGTTTAACCTCCTGGCATAGAGCAGTCGCAAGACATGGAGGATAGTTCTCGTGAGCTCGAAACGCTCAACGAATTAAGCGTCATCGTACGGAATGGAACGTCCTTGTTTTGAACATATCTTCACCATTCTGACGGCTCATGCGAAGTTGTTGGCAAATTAGCAGTTTCTCTGCCCTCGTGGTTCGTTTGGGAGGGTGAGCATCTTGGCACTGTATCGGTGTTCCAGGTGAACGAGCGTTGAATTTTCGGAAACACTGTCCACCAAGATCAGCTGAAGGACAACGATTGATTGAGTTTCGCTTGG